GTGGCTTCTTATCTGTGATATTTCTAAATTAAAAACAAAAAAGTAGGGAATAACTGGAAACAAGCATCCTTTCAATCTGAATGAAGTGGAATTAGTATATAGTATATGGAGATTTTATTAAATGTTGGCAGTTTCAATAGTTGAGGAGGATAAAGCAAACTCTGACCTTGTTTGGCAGGCTTTATACATGTGTTTGTATCTAATGTGAAAAGAGCTGCTTCTCATGCAGTGGTTGCCTTTCCTATTTCTTACTTCCCTCTTTTACTTGGAGAAATTTTCAAAGGCACAGACAAGCTGGATACTTACCTCCTGCTTATTTAGTCTGTGCATTGACAAGGTTGTCAACTAACAAATATCTGGCGTAGAAAGGCTTTTATGTAGGCATAGCTTATTCTCTGAGAAGATCAAAGATACACTTTTCCTTCTGAAATTAAAACCACTTCATCTTTTTCTTGGAGTGGTGGAATTTTGTGCAACCAGTATGGGATATGCTTTGTCACGTGATCTTTTGTAAGTGACACTCATGTTTGAGGCAGTATTGACTTACAGGAAGCAAGATGCTGTGTTTTCCAGGTGCTTGTTCACTCCAGCTTTCTCTGGATGCCTCCCAGCTGACCTTACAATCTTTTTATGAAGTTTGAATCCAAGATTATGTAACCCTGAACTAGTTATCCAGCAGAAGCACATCAGAAACTAACCCATGGTATAAAATGACAGCTTTGCCCATTGTAAGTGTGTGCAACAGACTAGTACAGTTGTAACCCAAGGAGAATACTGGTGTTAGACTACTGTGTTTCATGAGTCCAACAGTGAATGACTAATATTTGCAGAACAGAAAAGTACCTCTACACGTTGTGAGAAGATTCAGAGCACAATTGCTATAATGCTTATTGAATTACTTTGTTGCCTGGAATATTGTTATTCTCTGCCATGTGAAGGAGTTGCTGGAAAAGATGAGGAGCAATGACATGGGAAATGCATGCATATTTGTTCTGAAGCTTCTTAATATTTAATGGGGTGCAAAGTTCCTGGAGTAATTTTTTTCTGAGTGGGTGGCTTTGAGATGCATGGAGGGGAAGAATGAATTTGAAGATGTTGGCAGAAAGATCTGCCAGTCTGTACTGAAACTGATCTAGCTCATCAGAGCAGCTTACTAGTATATGAGTTAGGTGTAGTTGCTCACTAGCTTTCCAGTGTCCCAAGTGGACACTTCTATCTGCTTATCTTTTTCCCCCCTTTCAGGCTATGACTTTATTTTGTCTGTCTAAAGAGTTCTTCCTCATCTTAGAATCAATATTTATTATTTCTTTTTATCCTTGATTCTTTCTACTTCCACTTAAGGTCAGTCAGCACCAGGACTGGTTTAATTTCCTTGTGATATTAACAAAAACCCTCTGGTGTTTTTTTTTTATCATTCTTCATTTATTTTCATTCTAATGGAGGTGAAACTTGGTTTGGAAGCAAGGTTATAAAATCAATGCAATTCAAACTAGATGGAAGACTTGAATTAAGCAGCCAACCAAAAATAAAAACCTCTCAGCTTCTCCCCTACTCCAGGGCATTGTCATAATATACAGTTACTATATAAGAAGTACTTCTTTAAAAGCTGTAGACTTAGAGGTATTTTTGAAAGCAAGTGGTTTGATTGACTGAGTATCTTCTAGCAACTTAGGAAGCTTTAAATACAACTGGTTGAATGCTGCCTGTGGAATATATTGTCAAGCCCAAAGCACCTGCCAAAACCAGATGATGATTCCATTCTTTAAAACACATAAGATATTAAACATGGAACTCAATATTTTGTCAGCTACCAAAAAGGAATTTGCATAAGACACATGACACAATATATATAAAACTGGATTCCAAATGACATACAAGTGCTTCAGACTTGTGTGACGTAGGTTTTAAAGTTAATTTTGCATGCTTCTATTGAAATGGTGCACTGTTTTATCAAGAAGCTAAACTTGACTCTCTGGTATTTCTTGCTACTTGCCACTTTTTATACACATGGACCATGTGGACAAGAATATGATCCTGCTGGCGTTTGATGGGTACAGCCACAGGAAAACTCTATTTGGCAAATTGAAGTTTGGGATTTTTTTTAACTGGTATTTTTTTTTGTGTTCGAGGAAGAATCAAGTCAAAGAGTGGTAGTGTCAACAGAAACAAGGGAGGTGGGGGGCAGGCAGGGGAATGGACTACAACTGCTTTTTCATATCTCAGTCAGCAGTTTAATATGTTGTTTCCTCTCATTGTGCATATTTGTAGGTACCCTACAAAAACCTTAACAAATCTGACTGCCTTACAAATCAATTACACTTCATCTCAAAAGAACTTATGTTAAGTGTCAGCAATATATAGTATCAACAATGTGGTTGTTGGTACAGTCTGCAGTAAGAACAACTTAACTTTTCTTGAAGGCAGGAAGATAAGCTGTACTTTGCATGCTGTCCAGCTGCAGTGGAGTGAATGGCATTGTCTTGTTAAGCAGTGTTTTTATGCTGGTAGGTATGCTTTCCTTGATGTGGGGGAACTGCACAGTATGTCTCCAGGAGGAATAAAATGAAGAAGAATCACAAATGCCTGATGCACAGTGAACTGGATAACAAAGAATGTTTGCAGTATTTCTTCAGTTTGAAAATGTTAACATAGTTTAATCAGTCTCATGCACTGAGCTATTGCATTTTATTTTTTTCTTGGATTTGTGGTCTGGTAAGATGGTTTAATGACTGTCTATTGCTTAGGGTCTTATGGAAAGGTATTTCATAAACTACATTAGTATTTATTAGCTAGGGGACAGTATCATCAAGAGATATGTGCTCCACTAGAGATTTTTATCCATGAAAACCACTGTGAAGAATTACTAGGGGTAGTTTTATAAATTATGTTTGCTTTCATTTCTTTGTCAGATCATTTCATAAAAGAGTGAATGTTTTCTGATAACTCTGATGCCTTTTAAGTTTACAGAGTTCTTGTGAAACTACCAAGAAAACTGCAAGTTTTGGTGCTATTTTTATGATGTATATGTGATGAATATTTAGCTGAAACATTGGGCGCCTTTCAGTTTCAATTGGACAACTTGCTTAGAAATACATGATCTGCATGTGTCTTTAAAAATGCGTGCTTCTAACTTGCTCTGGTCACCTTGCACATTTATCTGCTGCCTTCCAGTTTTAACACACTTTGGAAGTTTCTGTTTCCTACTTGCTGTCAGTAAGTCTTCAAGTGCTCTGTCTGAAGATGACACTAATATGTTCAAGTGTAAATGCTGGAGCCTGAGCCAAAACAGTGTCTGTGAAGGCATGAGTGAAAAGCCAGCACCAGGTTATGTGATGTAGAATGAGTGTGCACTGCTCAGCTGTGCTAGCAGAGATCATTCTGCCTCCTTAGCTCTGCCCTAGTACATCTCCATCTGCCTGGGTGCATCTGCCAGTGTTTGATCAGCGTAAGAGTTTGCCCCTTTTCTGACCTGCTCTGGGAGGATAAAGCTAGAGCCAAGAAGACAGGGGAGCAGAGAAACCAGAATGGGCTGTGTGCCTCTCACCTCCCTTTCCCACCTTTAACATCACTCCCCTCTGCCCATGTAGACGCTGAGGAAAGAGACTGCTCAGTCTGAGCAAACCAAGGCAAAACAATAAGGAGGTGTTGCTGAGACAACATGTGGTGTAGTTCCATGTATGTCGGGTTGGTGGAGCTGAATGCACTCCAGGCAGCTTGCAGCAAAGCGGTGAAGTACAGATGCTTGATTTCCTTCACCAGCCATCCTGGGCTGACCTGTCTTTGAGAGTCCTTCTGTTAGCATAAAATGCACTTGGGGAAAATAAGCATTTCTGTGGTCATATAGTGGGTGTTTGCATTTCCTTCCCCTATAGTATTGTCTTTTAACTTGTATTGTGTTAGGTTTGTTTTTGTTTTGTTTTTTTTTTTATGCAGGTAGGGCAAACATCTTGCTAAAGGCATATTTTTAAAGGAGAGATACATTCCTGTATTTTAAGTGAGAGTTGTCTGCCATCCTGATATGCATTAAAAGGGGCCCAGGGCTGCATGCAGGAAGAACAGATTGCTTCATTTACTTTTGTGAGGTTACTTTGGGACTTAGGGAAGTTTGTGATGGAAATTTTGTTTCTATGATACGATCTTTCTTCCTGGATCTGGATAGAATAAGAAACAGTGTCTGAGCTCATGCTGGTTTCTGTCTGTACCTCTGCTCCACTGCCATCCATTCACTGTATTTGAAAAAAATGTGTAGGGCTTGAATATCCAGAACAGTAGGTTGCATTCTGTGTGTACTTTTGTGAAGTTACCTGCATCAAGTATTTTTATTTTTCTTGCCTGTCCTATTTTATTAATTGCCTGTTATTGTTTATGTATTGAATATCCTGAAAAAAAACAAAGACACAGTTCTGGTTGTGGCTTCACACAGGCCTGTCCGTGCCATTAAAGTGGCCAGTGGAAAGAAAAGCAAGCTGCTTTGATCCACTTACACACAAACAGATTAAAACCATATGTTTATGTTGATATTTACCTGCAGTATATTTTTATCTTTAAAAAAAAAAAACCCAAAACCCCACTAGTTATTAAAATATGAGCACTATAGCAAATTTCTGTATTTTAATACTCAGAATGGCTCATTCAATGCAGGAGTCAATACAAGCAGCTAAAAACATTGTTTGGGTAACCTACTTAGGTATTTGCCTCTGAAATTCCCTCATTTATTTGTTACTACATGCTGCTAGGAGATAGCTGGGGTGTAATTGTTTCCGCTTGGACTCGATGATCTTTAAGGTCCCTTCCAACACAAACCAATCTATGATTCTGTGGTTCTGTTATCTGATTTATAAAGCTTTGAGCTGTTACACATACTTTTTGTTCAAATCTGTGACTTCTGGCAAACTCTAAGCATTCAGATATTCAAATTATTGCTGTTGGGTTTTGGGGGTCGTTTTGCTCGTTTGGGTTGGGTTTTTTGCTTTGTTTATCCTTCCTGTTTCTACTCACAGGTAACATCATGGTGCTGTGGTCAACTTGCAGAACATCGGTACTTAAATCTGTAACAAATCGGTTCATTAAGAATTTGGCCTGCTCGGGGATCTGTGCCAGCCTAGTCTGTGTGCCTTTTGACATTGCTCTTAGTGCCAGTCCACACTGCTGCTGGTGGGTCTATACGATGCTCTTCTGCAGAATTGCTAAGTTTCTGCACAAAGTCTTCTGCTCAGTGACTATCCTTAGTTTTCCAGCCATAGCACTTGACAGGTAAGAGATCAAATTTGCCAAGATCCTTGATTTATTTTTCTTTTTTCTCCCTTTGAAACCCTTTTCTTCTTTTTGTGTTAGTCTTGTATATGCTATTTAGTGTTGCTTTATGCCATTACATTAACTGCTCTTGTTCCAGTGCTTTGCTCACAGCATACAGCTTCTTTCCAGAAGGTACTGGTATAAATATTCTTCTCTGTAACACTGAAAACTGTTATTTTTCAGTTCACTCTGATATCTCTGGGCATTGATAAAAGGACTTTGAGTCTATAGAATTGTCTTCAGAGATGTTTTTATCTTTTCTTTCTTCATGCTAATAATCCTTGTTCAGTAGTGGAACTTAAAGACAGACAGCATCAGGCTACAGACAAGGTGCCCCGTTTTTTAACTGTGGAAGTTGAAAGCCATTGGCCATTAGAAGAATTTACCAATGCCTGAGGTAGATTGTCCATCAGCTTGAAATTTCAAACTTTATTAATACAACTAAAATTAATTCAGAGAAGTTTTGTATGTAGAAAATCAGTCTACAACAAAAGTGGCCTCCCAGACTGTCTAAGGTTTAGGGTTTTTTTCCATTAATTTTGTTAGTTATTATTACTGATACCACCTAAATGCATAGGCAGTAGGTTAGATTTTTTAAGGAAAGGTGGATACTGGTTTAATACAGTTTACTAAAACAGTGGATTTATCCATGTTAGATAAAATTGTTGTTGATCTGTTATCTCGTCTCACCACAGAATACACAAGAACAAACTGTATACTTAATAAAGTCATATGTCTCTTACTTAATGTCTTCATAAATGCAGTATCACTACCTGTAATGCACACCAGTGTTGCCGCTGGGCCAGTGTATCATTTGCCCTTCACCAGTAAAACTTCTGATCTTCCCAACAAAAAGCACAAATTGCTACCACATATAATGACATGTAAAAGAACAGATCCCTCCTGAAAAGTCTTTAAAAGTCCACAGCAGTAAGCAAACAATGAATCAGTGACTGAAATTTGAAGTGTGTGTCAGAGATGCACTTTTCTTAATGTACACAGAATGTTCAGTGTTTGACTACTCTTTTGCTCAGGGCCTTGCTAACCAGAGCTTGTGCGAAACAAAACCTCATTGTACTTCCAGTACATGAGTACAAGTAATTTGTGACCAATAGCTTTTTCCAAATGTCCAGGGAAAAGAAATATATCACAAAGCAGCTTCTCAAATTAATGCTGAGTGCAGTTACTTAGAAGAGACTTAACCAAAAAGTAAAATTACAAAAAAGAAAGTTGGTTTTGTCTTGGCTCAAACCAGGACACTTTGCAATGTGACATACCTCTGCCTCCATTATGTTTTCTGAAGTTTTGTGCTATGTGTGATATGTAGTCCAGTTTACAAGAGATTAAATCTTCAAATTAATGTTCATACACATCAGCCAAATGATATAGTCCCAATTATTGAAAGAATCATTCATCACCGATTAATTTATTCTGAAGTTTAAATATTCAAGTTTTTTCTACACATAGATCTGTATAGTTAGACCCTTGGGATTTTTTTTCCTCTCAGAAGCAGGTAGTCAACTGGTAACCCATTTAGGGATTTGTGACATTATGCTGAAATAGCTTCTGAGAGGCTTCTCATATGCATTATGCTCATTATAGACTTTGCCCTTTGCATCATACCAGTTATAATTTTAACTTTTTTAAAAAAATATATTTTATTTTTTTTTTAACAGGTACTACTCTGTTTTATACCCTCTGGAAAGAAAAATATCTGATGCAAAGTCCCGAGACCTGGTTATATATATCTGGGCCCATGCAATAGTGGCCAGCATTCCAGTATTTGCTGTGACTAATGTGTCGGATATTTATGCCATGTCCACCTGCTCTGAATCTTGGAGTTACTCCCTTGGCCACCTGATATATGTCATCATCTATAACATCACCACTGTGATTGTACCAGTGGCTGTGGTATTTCTCTTTATGATTCTTATTCGTAGGGCACTGAGTGCCAGTCAAAAGAAAAAAGTCATCATAGCTGCCTTAAGGACCCCTCAGAATACAATTTCGATCCCTTATGCCTCCCAGCGAGAAGCTGAGCTTCATGCCATGCTGCTTTCCATGGTCATGGTATTTATTTTCTGCAGCGTCCCCTATGTGACTTTGGTGATTTACCGCACCATACTCAATGTATCAGATATTTCAGTCTTCTTGTTCCTCACTGCCATTTGGTTGCCCAAGGTCTCTTTGCTGGCCAATCCTTTGTTATTTTTAACTGTTAACAAATCTGTACGGAAGTGCTTAGTGGGGACAATAGTACAGCTGCACCAAAGGTATAGCAGGAGAAACATGGTCAGCTCGAGTGGTGTTGCAGATGCTAATCTGGAGCCCAATGTCCGTTCGGGGAGCCAGCTTCTGGAGATGTTTCATATCGGGCAACAACAAATCTTCAAGCCAACAGAAGATGAGGAGAATGAGACTAAATCCATTAGCTCTGGTGACTTTCAGCAGAAAGAAATTCCTACCACCAGTTTAGAGGTGGGAGAGACTTTGGCTCACAAATTCATACCACAGACAATTGCAGATTCTGCAGCTCAGATGGCATCAGCTGTGCCCACAGAAGCTGATACAGTCAACGATAAGTATTCCATGCAGTTTGGTTTTGGACCCTTTGAGCTGCCTCCACAGTGGCTCTCAGAAAGCCGAAGCAGCAAGAAGCGGCTCCTGCCTCCTTTGGGGAATACCCCTGAGGAGTTAATCCAAACAAAACAGTCTAAGTGTAAAGCAGAAAGAAAAATCAGCAGAAACAATAAAGTCAGTATCTTTCCCAAGGTGGATTCTTAGTCATAGCAGGAGCTTTAATTGACAAAGGAAGTTCACCTTCTATTAAATGTGTGATCCCATGGATCTTTGTTATGCTGAAATACATTACAGACTGATTTTTTGGTGCCAAATATAATTTAAACAAACAAAAGGGAAATGTAGATAGAAGTGTTTCTTATTAATATGTTTTCATGAAAATAATATATAAAAATATGGTGATTCTTAGCTTTATCTGTGCAATCCCTACAATGACACCTGCCTGATTCAAAAAGTCCATGTGGCTTTGGGAACACTTCATGCAGCTGAAGTATGCCAATACAGCAGTCAGTTTGCTGGGAAACCCCATGTTGTATTGAAAATTGGGAACACTTTGTGCAGCTGAAGTATGCTAATACAAGAGTCAGTTTGCTGGGAAGCCCCATGTTGTATTGAAATGAACTGGGTGTCAAAGTAATGTAATAGGAAAGGCTGTAGGGAGAAGATGAGATCTAACCTTATGTAAGTGGACACAGTAAGATTCTGCACATTTTGTTAATTAAGTAAGATGGACTATTAAATACATTTATTTTATGTTAAGCCCATTTCTTGAATCAGTGTTAAAAATAAACCTTGCTGGAGTTTTTGCACAAATTGGTTACCAAGCATCTGCCAAACATCTAAACTTTTTTAAAACCTGAACTGCTATTTTTTGGCTTAAAAACTTAAGCAAAGCCAAGGATACCCAAACTGTCATGTGTGTCAAACCTGAGAATGACTTTTTTTTTTTTTTTTAATATATATTCATTTAGTTTTAAGTAAAAATGGGATTGAAGACCTTGCAGGGCAAATCCTTACTCCAGTAAACAAGCATGTATGTGCCAAGGTCATAAATAGGACACTTTGATCCCATGATAAAGAACATATACAAAGGTCCCAACAGTGTAATATATGTATTTTGTAGGTAAGCAAGGGGTCAACCTTAAAATAGACTCCTCTGCTGGTGCTATTCTTTTATGGGAAAGCTAGCAAATGAAAGAAAAGGGTCAGAAATGCTGGTTGCCTTGTAGTGAACTGCAGAGGAAGCTGATAACAGACCCCAAAAGGCAAGGTTTGTTAATGCTGTTAATACCTCTGCTATTGTCAGAGGTATGGAGGTTTTCCTTCTACCTTCACAGATAGAGATGCCAACCATCCTACTTGGCTTGTCTCACAGAGTAAACTACCCAGTGGATGAACATGAGTTAATACAGGAATCTGATTCATACAGGAATCTCATGTTCATACAGGAATCTGGTGCCCAATTCCTGAGTGGATCAGAGTCATGCCATCCCTGGTATAACCACACCAGCCTTTCTGTAACAGTTCAGGCATTGTACTGCAGATTGCACCCATGCATCATCACAGGCATCTTGTCTTGTTTATACTGAGTGTGAATTTTAAACTGTATCAGTCTGTTAGATGACCTGAAATTATTGTAACCTTGGCATTTTAATCCTTGTTCAGGTGCAAGTAGCCTTTCCTCCTTCTGTATTGGCATTCACTGTTGTCTCTGTGGGTAGTTTCTTAAAAGCATAGTCTAGTAACATCTGTGTACTCTGTGTGGTTCTCCTGTACTTTAGCCCTTCAGTGCATGCTGAACCTTTATCTGTAGTTACTGCCTGTTTATGAAAGCATAGTTTGACAAGGACAAGGTGAAGAATCTTGCCAAGTTAACAGTAACTTACTAAATCAAACCAGTTAGTGTTAAAAGTGAGAAAAAATTCTGCTGAAGCTGAATTTGGAGGTGTTCTTCCTTCGCCACATGAAAGAAAATCATCAGCTTCTGATGGCTCCAAGGTGGTTGATTTCTACAAGGCATTACAAGCAAATGTTTTAATAAAAATGTATCTTAAAGTTTATAAAGTACTGTGTAAATTATGTTTTTCTCCATTTCCTATTTTGTTTCAGTTCACTTCTTGATAGTTCAAGAATTTCTCAGCTTGGGAGTGAGGAGCAGTATTCGAGGGGTCCGGATGGGTGGTGCGTACCCCACCTGCCCTGCTTCTTAGATACAGACATGAGAAGGCAGACATAGCTTGCCTGAAACCAGACAGAAGAAATATTCTGGGAAGAGGTGTTCCTTCCCTGGCAGAGGTAGAGAAATACCACAGCAGACTTTTTTTCATGTGCTGATAAGTAAATTAATGACATATTTGTTTTTCCAAAGTTAGTGAAAGAACAGATGCCAGTAAAAAAATCTGAAACACCTTAAAAGCAAAGTAATAGTTACAGTTTCCTTATGAATTTTGTTTACATTTAATATTTATGGCCACTTACATACAGATACTGGTTAAAGTCTCTGTGATTAGTGAGTGCACATAAATGGTTACTCAGACCTGAACTCCTTTGAGGAAAGCAAATTTAGTCTTAGCTTTGTCCCTTTCAAATCTCATGTTGAATGAAATGCCAATGATAAATTCAAAGAGCCAAATTGCATACATTTAGTTTTATCATATCTGGAAGCTAAGAGGTTTGTGAGGGTTTATTGACTGTTGAGACAAATGTATCTTTTTCTTTCAAAGCAGACATGTAAAAACTTGCTTGTATATTTTTAGCAGATTGTATCTTAAGACATTGAAACTTTTTAGCAGTTAATTAACTGAGGTGGTTTTCCATACCTGAAGAATTATTTGGGAATGTTATATTTTAGTCCCTCTTTCAACAGTTTATCCAAGCAAATGCTTAAGCAAAAGCATATCTTTGCATATAAGAAAAATCTGTGTAAAATTCCTGATCCAGCTTCTGTGCTAGAATTGTCATCAGAAAACAGTAATTCAGGAGACTCTTATACAAGTTGGAATATTTGACTTGAGAGTATGATTTTTAACTTAGATGCATCTAAGACAGTGGTAACTGAGTAATTTCTGCTGTCTGATGGCTTGTTGTTCAAGTGATTTCTACTGGGAAAAATGTTCTCCAGCATCCAATATGAAAAAAAAAGAAAAATCAAGACTTGTTTTCTTCTGTACCTTCACAGTAAAGATAAGCAAAATTTATGGGTTTTGTTTGGTTTTTTTGGTGGTTTGGTTTTTCTTGTGTTTTTTTTTTTTTTTGTTATTATAGTTGTTTTTAACCACCACAGGTTTTGGCTAGATAATTTTTTCTCTCCAGATTATTGATGAAAGAAAGTGAAATACAGAAAGTGAAGTACAAAGCAAAGCTGTGGGAATTGAAGAAGTGAAAGCCTGAGGTTATTTGGCCTGTGCAAATAGATTTAAAGGCTAAATCTTACTACTGGGGAATAAACTTGGAGGAAGAAAAGTTAAAAATCACTGTTTTCAAATTTTTCCTGGGAAAATTTTCCTGTGTCAGTGTACTATATCTTGAAAAATGGAGAGGAAAGTCAGGATGTGTTTTCTGGCTAGTAGGACTGGGACTTAGCAGCTGGTTTCAGCTGAACAGGAGCTGTCTCATAAGCTGCCATCAAGGTAACCAGCTCTGCAGGTGATTACATGTCCAGCAAAGCTCAGGTAGTTCCTATCATTCACATCACCTAACCCTGCACTGCATAATTAGATAAAGAATGTAAACATAAAAAAAGCAAAATCCCCTGCCTTCTAATCTTGTTTGATGTAGGTTACTGTGTAATTGTGCTTTAACCTATGTCGAAGTCAGTAGGATATAATAAAAAAATTGTTTGGTTTGTTGTTCGTTTGTTGTTTGTTTGGGTTTTTTTTGGCTATGAAGGACTTACCCTCCCCAAAAGGTATGAAGTCATTGCTGTCAAACTTAAAATATTATTACCTCTTAAAAAGACTGCTTCTTATTTGTGGCTTTCTCTGTGCCAAAGTAAGGATATTAGCAGGATTTCTAAACAATTGATGTCTTAACTATCAAACCAGGACCACAAGGTCAATCATTGCAATCTTCAGTAATCTGTAATTCAAGGACATTTTAGGGAAACAAAACACAACACAACAAAACACATCTTGTAGAAAATTGCAAAACTCCAGATGCAAGTCCTTGCACTCCTAAGCAAGTTGATTGCTCCCCTCCTCTGGAAGACACAGAGTGGGCACAGCAGGAACCTATCTAAAGTCATCTTTGTTCCAGATCTGGTTATAAGCTTCTAAGCCAGCCAGAGGTGGTCAAGAGTGTGCAGAGGCTGATTTTTCTGATTGCTTCACTCAGGGACAACAATACAAGACTGGGATGCAGAAGCATTCTTCATCTCAGTGAAAGCCCTTCTCATGTGCACAGGAGCAGTTTCTTCTCTGTGAGGAGGAAGTGGACTGTTTTTTAAAGAAAGCCTAAGAACTACCAAGTCAGATCCAATTCCTAAATACACATTTGTTAATGCAAATCAGAATTTCTCTACACAGCTTTCTTTTGCATTCTCAGGTTTCCTGTGGCTAAACATAAGGCACTGAGATGCTGATTTACTCCAAAAACCCCTTTGTGCACAGTACTTACCTGAGCAGTAGTCTATCGTCTTTACCTCCCTTTTCTGTAAAACTAAACCCTCTGCTCTTTGCCTGGATCATATCCTAAGCCATGAAGATCCTTAGACAATTAGAGGATCTCATTCTTTTGTCCCCCTTGCACCTATCCAGTAGCAATCTCCCAACACACTGCACACCACAGCACTAAGACATTCCAGCACAACACAATCTGGTTTAAGCTCTGGCTTCCTCAGCTCTGCTGTTTGCCAGCAGAAGGTGTGGCAGCATGGAAGACAGTCTTGTCAAGGCAGGACCTTCCCCAGTGCAAGTCAAAGAATGAAAACCTGGCTTTATTAAACACAATGGAAGTTTGACTCTAGACTTAGTGTTCTAGTTCAGCTTTTCCTCCTCAGCTGCCAGGTTACTACTGTGCTGTATCACTATTGCTGTTGCAGCACACTGCAGAACTCTACTCATCCTCACCAAGGGTTTCTGCAAAAGCTGGAATGTGGCCCAAAATTCCTGCTACACACCAAACAACAGTTATTAATACTTTATATATTTGTCCTCTGCAAGAAAAGGGTCTGTTTATTCCCCTAACACTTAAGGGAAAAAATGTCAGGAAAATTAAATGTGCTTGTCTTGAGTGTGCTGGAACTGTTACAGTCTACCTTTAAACTTATGCATGTTGTGAAGAAAAGCTACATCAAGTGACTACACAAACTAATATTGATAACTAATAGGCATTAGTCAAATCCTTTATAATTTGCCTTCCAACCTATATGAGAACATGAAAGTTTTTTGGCTACCTATTTGTGTATTAAAACACTGTTCAGTATAAATAAAAGCAGTAGTAATGAGAACAAGTTTCCTGTGTTTTTCCCCCTCACTTGTTTCTTCTTAATTCGATTTGGGAGAAAAGAATAAATTAATTGTTACTATGGTGGCTGTGTTGGCAGTGTCAAGACAGCTTGTCTAAATGCCTCTTCATCATGTAACTTATCTTTTAGAATGAAACCCACACCTTGGAGTGTTTTTCTTGCTGTGCCCTTCCTAGACACGAGTTTTCTCCAGTTCAGTGCTTTTTCTTTTTTTTTTCCCCTTTGTCTTCATTCTACTTCAGCTAAGTAAGTTTATCATGGAACAAAAATGACCTATTGCCAGAAAGGCAAAAATAAAAAAAAAATACCTTTTGTTCTGCTTTTTTAGCACAAACTTCATTATACATACACCTGCCACCTGTAAAAATACTTTAGATTCTATAATAGGTAATGATGTCTATATAAAGTTCATCCCTCTTAATGAAGACCCAAATGGGCAGATTTTCAGGATTTGAGGTGAACGCTATGAACCTCTTATTTTCCTCTCTGGGTCTTCTAGGACACATACTCATAGATCTTAAGATAACTGTGAGATAGCCCTGCCAAGCCATTTATTTTATTATTGACTCTCAGGTGTGTCATTGAAAACCTTCACTGATCCCATGTGGACAAGCAGCAGTAAGGAGCACCATTTCCAGGGGAGATTTATGTCAGTTTGTTATGAAGCACAGATCTGGACACTCTTATATGCTCTTCTGAGGTTGCAGGCAGTTTGTAATATGGGAAGCTGTTAGCAAGTCAGAGTCTGTGAGCTGTGAGAATGGTTTGGGTTGGATGGTACCTTAAAGATTACCTAGTTCCAAGCCCCTGCCAAGGGCAGAGACACTAGACCGTGTTGCTCAGAGGCACATCCAGCCTGGCCTTGAACACTTCCAGGGATGAGGCACTTGCATTGAGATTAGATACTACAAAGAAATTCTTCACTATGAGGGTAGGGAGACACTGGAAGAGGGTGCCCAGGGAAGTTGTGGCTGCTCCCTCCCTGTTAATCAGAACATAGAAAAAAACTGTCACATCCTATTTAAATGTAGAAAAGAAATAAGAAGAGATAGGATTAGGAAGGTAATTACGCTGCCCTTATTAATGAAAATTCATTATTAACAATGAATATTCAGGTAAACAACAGTGACCACAGTATTAACGAGTTTGTTTAAAAGATTCAAGTCTCCTTGTTTACACAGTTTATGCAGGAAACTAGAAAGGTTACCAGAAGAAACACTGTTATTTCACAGAGTAGACATATTATTTAAAAGGCCCCCGACG